AGCAAAAGTCAATCACCACTATGGAATGCCACCGTCTTGAATTGAAAGTCAAGTCGAGTCCCTAAGCAACAAGTCAAGGCAAAAAAGCTCTTGGAGGGCGGGTGGGCGTAGAGTGGAGGGCGAGGTATGAAAGTGCTACAAGTGGACGCGATTTGAGTAGTAGTAGTACTCGAAGAAATGAAACGACGAAGCGACAAGCCAATAAAAGTCAACAAACGGACTTGTTTGCGCGTCACTAGCGAACGCTTAACTCACACACAAACATACACAACACACTTGCAAAGACAAATATTTGTACTACTTACATACCAAAACCAGATTAAGAAACAAAAAAAAAAAAAAACAGTTGAAATAAAATGAAGACGGACAGAAGCGACTGCAAACATAAAAGTGTAGAATAGGTAGACAGACGGTTCGTGGAAAAGGCCAATAGAGCTAACTGGAATGCACCCATACCAATGTATATGTGTACATATATGTATGCACATTAGGGTGATACAATTTTTTTTAATGTTAAGCTCTTACATCCGAGGATTTTTTTGTTAAAAAAATGATACCTAGAACTGCCTCAAAGCCCCTGAAGCCTTCCATGTACATATTTTATATGAGAAAAAACACTTTCATAGAAATGTTATAGAAAACTTGAAAATCAAAATTTTTCGATCGGAAAACTCGGTTTTACATTTTTTGGAATTTTTGTGGAATCTATAAAAAGTACGTAATATTAAAAATTTGTCAAATAAACGATTGGGTATTATTATTGAATTTTCAGTAATTCTATACAATTTCTACGAAAAAAGTGTTTTTCCCTCCAAAAAAATGCATAGCAAACTTCGTAAGTTCAAAATATATTTTTGTTAAAAAAAACACGGATATTCATTTTCATTTAGAAAAATCGTAGGGAGCTTAACATTTTAAAGTTTTTCCCCACGCATGTATTCTTGGGCCACCCTAATGTACATATATGCATGTACATATGTATGTATGTTTAAAGCAAGACCTGCAAACAGTATGAACAACACAATGAAACACTGAGCCATTCAATGACAAATGAGCTTTACTTAGATATCTACATACATATGTACATACATATACATAGTTAGTTCGGTAGTGTTTTTGGAGATGCCATTGAAGGCATTCGTGGCATGGTTTCTGTCGGAGGACAAATCTTACGCAAGTCGACAACTTATGCTTTCTTGGGTTAATGAAAATGAACTAACCAATAAATAAATAAATTGGTACATAAGAACAAATGAAGTGAAACGAAGTGCGACTAATGGCATGCGGCAACCACAAAAATTGATAACGTCTTCGGATGACAAAAACGAAAAAACCAAAAAGTAAAAAAAAAACAGAAAAATTAAATTGAATGGTGGATGACGGTGGAATTTACCGCAAGAAAAATGTAGGTATTACAATGTAATAATACATAATTGAAATACTAAAAGCAATAAAGGAAATGGATTCCAAGTTGTTGAGAGGAAATTGAGGAAATGAGAAATTGCAAAGGCGGAGCAGAAAAGTGCGGAGAGCAACCGCAGATCTGTAACGCCGCCGCTGTTCAGAGTAAGCTTTGGTCAGCCGTAAAGTCTCGGTACAAACCGATGGAGCGCGATGACAGAACAGAAATTTTATTCGAAGAACACGCTTCGCCGAAGCGATGCGCCAGCTACTTTAACCGACAAATAAGATGGCATCCCTCGGTGGGTAAGGGAAAGAGTAGAGTGACCAGAAGACTTGATGTTCTCGCACTTCGTTCAGCAGTTAAGTTCAGGTGACAATCAGGAAGGAAAAGGCGTCTAGACTCACTGGTCCTGGCTGGTAGACTACGATCGCTTTGTTCATTGAAATCAGGTAGAGTGGTTTCAGTACTAAAGCCGAGGAAGCCAACAAAAAAAGGAAGCCTTTTCACTCGTTAACCCTCCTTTCCGTAGACACTTGAGCTAAGCATGAAAATATGGTTTTCGTAAAGTGCATAGCTCCAGGACATCACTTAACGCCCCATATGTCATGCCCTGACGATCGCCCAATATAAATAATTAAATTGTTTTGTAATTATTATTATTTTTTAATAAATTAGTTTATAATAAGTTTTCTTGATACTTAATGTTCTTATATATTTGGGTGTTTCCATGAAAATGGTAAACAAAAAATGCAAGTCAATGGAATAAAACGACTTTATAACTTTATACTTCGTTTTCAGGTGGCGAAAAAGGCTATAAAAGCGACATATGGTGGAGAGAAAAACGGAAAAAATTAAATAAGAAATTAAATTCAAATCAAATTCAAAATGTATTGTTTTCAACTTATGTTTATTTATTTATTTTTAATAATTTTCATTTAAAATATAATTCAATCTATAACAGGAACCACTTAAATAAAAGTTTCAAAGCTTGGACAAATTTAAAAAAATTAATCAAACTCAAAAAAATTGTCATCAAAATTTCCAAATTTTTAATCAGAATATTTAGAAAATTTTTGGGTTTGCAGTTAAACATCTATATTTGTATGAAAAAAATCCGTAACATTTTTAGCAACTTGAAACTCGCACTTTATTAGACTAAAATTGGATGGGCAACAAATCCGCATACGCTCAATATTCTGATTAAAAATTTGGAAATTTTGATGACAGTTTTTTGAAGTTTAATTAATTTTTTTAGAATTTGTGCAAGCTTCGAAATTTTTATTTATGTGGTTTCTGTTATAGATTGAATTATATTTTAAATTAAAATTATAAAAACATAAGTTGCAAACAATATTATTTGGAATTTCGGTGCTAATTAGTTGAATGCAGGTGTTTGTATTACTAATAAAAATATTGTATGGGGGAAAAATATGCCACTTCCGATATTTCATGTCCGTTATCACATTTTAATTAAAGATAAAACCAAAAACGAATTGCCTGTGATTGAATATGACTTGGTTGTAATGGTCCGTAATTGGGCTTTATTTAAAGAATGATTAAGAAAGGAAAATCTCACTAGATTCTCAGAGTTTTGCTTATTTTTACATGCACTCTGAAGCCACTTCTGTTTTTGTCACTTCCGCTATGACCTCCTTTTCATCGATTTCCCCGAGAGCAGTGTTCCAAGTCAAGTCAAGTGTGTCAATCGAAAGGATAAAAGCTACACAACGGCGATTTTTTTTTATAAGTGACTTCCGTTTTCGTATAATTTATTTAACTCTAAAGTCGTACGAATGTCACGTCGGACACCATGGAACCACCCATATGTAATAAGTAATCAATTTTTTTTAAATGAATTTTTATAACACTTTTTTTTTTGTAATAATTTGAATTAATTAATTAAACCGATAGGTGGCGCAGGGGTAGAAATATTTGATAACCCTGTATTTATAGGCCGCCATGGTTCATATTTAGAACGTACATATATTAACTGCATACACTGAAAGAAATAACTCCACACCAAATTTAGCTGGTAGGTAGCGCACGATTCGAAATATTTCTGATTTAGTTTATATTCGACTCGACTTTTTGCCGAAAGGTGGCGCAGGAGTCCAGATATTATTGGCCCGATTTCGTTTATATTTAGAAAACTTGTTTTAAACATATATTTTTTTTTTGTAATAATATTTTTGACTAAGTCATTTTTTATATATTTTTTATAATAAATGTTTTCAAAATTATTTTTCTTTTCATAAAATGTAGCTAATTCCTCTTTTCAAAAATGTATCTTTAAATTTAGAACTTTTTCAAAAATTCAAAATAAAAATTTCTTGTGATTTTTTTGTTTGAATTTTTTCTGCAAACGCCGAAATGTGATATAAAGAGCTAGACATTTAAAAAAAATTAATAAAAAAATAAAATGAAAAAATTAAGAATAGACAAGCAAAAGAAAAATAATGAAAACTGGCCAAAATACCGTGTACTGGTTATAATGGCACGGGTGTATTTAGATTAAAACTAGATAAAGCAACTCTCATTAAATATATATGTATTTTTTTGGTTCACTCATCTCTTTTACTGCGGCTATCATTTGTGCAGCGTGCGTCGTCAGATGCAGTTCAAAATACGTTGGAATAATATTTTGCGTTTGCTGCTCCGAAAAGTATGCATCAGTATTATTTAACCTTAAAAGCTATGCAACTGAAGTTTTGGTGAACAAGAAATGTGTTGCATACTTTGTGGCGTCTCCGCCTGGTTTTTTGAATTTTTTATGATTTTCTTGGTTTTAGGACTCTTTTTTCCAGCTTACTTTACTATTTGAGGCAAGCAGAAAGATTAGGTGATTTACTAAATTAAATACCGAATTGTTTTCTTCGAGAAAATGTGATAATTTAGGCATGAAAACCATATTTTAAGGGAAAGGTTATAAACAACTAACACAGTTTACTTGCACGGCAGGAATTTCCTCTGCTATAATCCCGGATATGATGAAGAGCACCAGCTGTGATTGTTTCCTTAGGCAACCGCTGATCGTAGGTAGCGCCTATGATCTACATACATACATATGTACATATATTTGTTGATTAGTTAGTTAGTACCCACTGGGATTAGTTTACTTCAAGTACAAGTTTGCATATATGTATGTGTGTAACTACATATGTATTCACTGGCTATATCTACTATGGAATTAACCTTCATGACTGCTGAACTAACAGAAGTAGATTAAACTGGGTTGCTCCTCACCTCATGCCCGTGGTTTAGTTCCGTATGACATGTGTGCATGCGTACGCTTGTCACGCATATTTATACTTACTTACATACATATGTATGTATGTATGTACGTGCATACATTGAAACGAGCGTGTGATGAGAGCGGACGTGAGCTTATTGTGTGGTGGCCTCACAGCGCACTAATAAAATGAAATATGCGTCGTATAAACGGATAGATAGATGGATAGATATGTATGTAGCTAAAGTAGATGGGTGAATGAATAAATGAATGAAAGAATGTTGACCTAATTTCATTTATATGTTTATTTTACATACATTTCATTTCATTTCTTTCATTCTTTCTTTCATTTCTACATAGCTTCATTTGTTTGATGTGCTTGTTGGCCTCACTTGTTGCCTGTTGCCTTTAAGCGATCGGCTGGTTGGTGTTGTTGGCTTTGTTGTTGCAGTTACTTTCCTAAGCACCGCGGCGCTATCGCTTCGATTGGTAAGTTATACATACACACATATGTACATATACAAATATACGAGTACACACCTTGCAGAAAAAAATTATCAATTGATAAAAAATAACCCACTTGTAGTTAGCTTTTTCGCGGAATTTCGATACCGGTTCACGTCCCTGATTTTTAGCATATCTGTCTGTCTGTATGTTTGTACGCGCATCAGACGAGAACTAATGCATGGAATTGAATGCAGTTTTAACCAATCTATTGCTAGAGGCCTAACTTAAAATATAGAAAGAAAAAAAATTAGAGACTTGCCACCTGTTTGAAAATTGCAATTTAAGTAAATTGATAATGTGAAGTAAATACTGCGATATGGCTGTCAAAAGAAAGAGGTTTAAGAAGGCTTACAGCCGAAAATATTTTTGTTAAAGGTTGCCACCTGTTTGAAAATTTTAATTTAATTTAATTGACAAGATAAATGGAATATTGCAATATGGGTATCAAAGTGAAGATGTTTTGGGAAAGTTTACTGCCGAAAATATTTTTGAGCAGGGTTGCCACCTGTTTGAAAAATTGTATCAAATTAAAGTAATAAAATAAATTAATTATTACAATACGAGAATCAAACAGCACAAAAATACTTTTAAGGCGCCGTAAAGTACGACCGATATTTGCTAGTGTTAAATAAAGTAAATAAATCAATAAGTAAAAAAATTAAAAAAAATATTGTATTGCTTTATTTCGTGGCCATCGGCATAGAAATATAGTTCGATTTCGTCAAAGAAAATATACAAGTAACGGTGACCTTTAATTCCTTCCTAATCTACTTCAAGTTAACTTATAGTTAGATACATTTCCTGCAGGGTATGTACGTGCACACACACATATAGCAAAAGAACTCTTGCCACCCCTCCAGGATCACGGCACACAACAGATCTTTACAGAAACTTGCAACAACAATGGCAATTAACAGGGTGAAGTAATGCGCGTGTATGAACAAAAGCACACACACACCAATGCAGTACACACGCACACTCGAAATGAAAAAGAAAATATTATCAGATAGGAAATGAAATAAAAAGCTTGCAGAAAATGTGCACGCACACAACAACAGTATGTATACAGACGGTGGTTTGAGTGTAGAAGCAGAACAAGCAGCAGCAGCAGCAACAGCGGCGGCGGACCCACGCACACACGCATAATAGAAATGAAGAAATGAAATGTTTTCATTAGGCACTTTTTTATTTTTATTGGATTGACACGATCCACAGTTGGAGCTGTGCTTTCGAACGATGCGAGCTGGCGGCGGGTGAGCTGCTTGCGCTTGATTGTGACAGCGTGTTCAATTGAGTTGAAATGAAAAAAAATTATAAATAAAAATTTTTTTATAAGTTTATTTCGTGTACAAATAGTGTTATGAACTTTCTTTCTGCGCTTAACACCGAAATTCGCAAAAGCAAAAAAAAACAAATTGGTGACCATTTCTCTATCGCATTTTTGACAAAGTGTTGTGCTAAGTGCTTAATTAACATTTGTACGCAACAAAATAAAGCAAATGTTGTCATTCGAAAAACAAAAAAAAAAAAATAAAAAATTGTGTTATGTTCGGCGAGGATATTTGTAGCTGTTGTGAATTCGCAAAAAAAAGTTAATAGAAATAAAATAAAACATAAAACGAAATATGTATAAGAAATGCTGCTGCTTTTGCTGCCTAACACCTACCACTCACTCGCTCATTTGATGGTCTATCTATCTAGCTGTCTGTCTATCTATCTAGCTGTCTGTCTGTCTGTCTGTCTGGAAGCAGCACCACGTGCCGACTTTGGCGAGTGACCTACTTAGCCGCATTTTACTGATGTGCGTTCAACTCACACGCATGCCGTCACACATCCACACACACACACACACACCTACACACATGTGCGATTACTTTTGTATCTACGAATGTGTTTGCGCATTTTTATGAACTCGTTAGCTTAGGTATGTAAACTTGTACGCATTAAATAATATTAACTTTCAAACTGTTTGAGGTTTTTTGCGTTTCTTTTTTTTTTTGGTTTTACTATATTATAACAACAAATTGCGTTGTGGGAAAATAAGTTTTGTAGCTTTCCAAAATGACTCAGCGATTGATTGGAATTTATTGGTTTTTTCTCCTTTTGTTTTATCTGCCATTAAAAATAGTGTTTATTTAGATGTCATTGTTGGGATTTTTTCTTTTTCTTTTTGAGAACTATCATAAAATTTAAATAAATACGCATAACTAAAACAAACTAAGACAATTGATTAGCCTTGGCAAAGCGCATGCGCAGAGTGAAAGTCGTTAAGTGATTAAGACTGAATTAAAGGAGTTAAAAAAAGAATACACCCTGTGTCAAAAATATAAGCACACCACATATTGACAAGTTTTAAAAAGTTATTTTTTATTATTTAATCTTTAATAGAGCAACAGAAGCCAATCAACGATTTTTAGAATTTTTGATTTTCTGTCTAGTCTGGAATCGAATGCAGTTTTCACCGATGTATTGCTTGAGGTTAACTTAAAATATAGAAGGAAAAAAATTAGTAATTACCTATTGAAAATGCAGTGTAGGTAAATTGATAAGATAAATATAAAACAAAGATTTTAAGAGGCTCGCCACAAAATATATTTAGTTTAAGGTTGCCACCTGTTTGAAAATTTTCATTTAATTTAAGTAATAAGAAAATTAAATATTGCTATATAGGTATCAAACTAAAGAGGTTTAAGAAAGTTTACTTGCGAAACATTTTTGAGGGGATTGTCACCTATTGAAATATTTTCTTCGTTTAAATTGATAAAATAAATCGAAATATTACAATACTCGTTTTAAACTAAAGAGAGTTTAAGAAAGTTTACTGTCGAACATATTTTTGAAGTGGGTTGCCACCTATTTGAAAAATTCAATAATTGATAAGATAGGGTAAATATTGTATCAGTACACCTTTGAAGTAAGTGTGCGCTATGCAGACTCCTCTTATAAGATTATGAATGAAATTTTCAGCAGAAAGCCGATACTCTACCGATTTTCTAAATACCTTCGAAAATACTGTATGAATTTAAACCCCACATTTATAAAAAATAAAAAATGCTTCATTCATCGAAAATTTGTTTGAAAATCTCCCCTCGTAAAGCTCTTTAAAACTTATTTATTTTTTTTATGAATAAGGCCATACGAGTTTTCCGGAGGGAGTAACAATAAAAAAATACTTTTAAGGCGCAGTGAAGCATGCCGGGTAGCTGCTACTTAAAAATAAATTTGGAAAAAAAATTGAAAACGTAATTTAAAAGATTCAAAATTATGAAAGAGTTGTTTTGTAGAAGGATTATCTAAGTATAATACAAATTTCCCTGAACAGTGTTAAATTATCATTCGATATTCTTAAGAATTCTTCGTTCTTTAAAATCCCGAAATTCCGTTTTATTGTTATTCCTAGAAGGCATTTTCACAAATCATGCACAAAATTCTGACATAAATACGAAATATAAACACGAAAAAAGTACACTTATCGCCAGTGCGTCTGTTGTGGTACCGTTTTAGGAGCTTATTTCGTCTCTATAAGCTCATCTAGAGATATAATTAGTTGATTAAGTTAATAAATAGCAGGGAATCATAAATGCCTAATTAAGCCCGCTGGGCAGTCAAAGAAGTAATTGTAAAATGAATGTCAGTTCAAAATGTGTACTTAGTTATAGAATTAAAGTTATGCTTCCAATTTCTTGAGCATCACGGAAACTGCGACAGAAATGGTTGGCTGACAGGCCATTCTATTACATAGCATGGCTTCTCATTAAGCAGTGACCAGTAGTAATTTCGCACATATGTCAAAGTAGAGACTGTTCCGTTCGAAGAAGTGTGCTTTAAGCTATGTATAATTTTCAGGAATAAGAGGAGTTGGCTTCAGATATGTAGGAGGTTCTTGTCCACGCTATGGGTGTATGTAATAACCCCTCGTGTCTCAAGCCCTAGCACCCACACTGATTAGGGACCTGCCTGTATTTTATTGTCGCTAACGACGAGGTTTTGTCGCTGTCTATATTCCTGTTTTTATAGATGGCAACGTTATGAAAAAAGTGTCAGAAATTAAACATTCTCTACCACACTTCAGTTGTAAGCAATTGAAATACATATTTTATTAAACTTGCATAAGATATTGTTCATCTATTTTTTTTTCGGTGGCAACACTGTTCGAAATGTTATCGGCTGAGACTGTTCTGGAACACCCCCTGTATTAATGGTTTATTATTATTATTACTAGTGTTCGCCCAGCGGTTGAATTTCAACCTTTTAAATTAAGGAGAGTTGAGGTGGTCTGAGCTGAGCCGAGTTGAGTTTAGTTGAGTTGATTGAAGTGAATTGAGGTGAAGTGCGTTGAACAACATAACAGAATATAACATAACATAACACAACACAATACAACGCAACATAACACGACATATCACATAACAGAATATAACATAACAGAATATAACATGACATAACATAACGTAACATAACATAACATCACATAACATAACATTACATTACATAACATTACATTACATTACATAACATTACATTACATTACATTACATAAAATAACATAACATAACATACCGCGGCTTAACATAGCATAACATAACATAATATAACATAACATAACATAACATAATATAATATAACATAACATGACATTCTTCAATTTTATCTTTTTCTCTTCTCTCTTTTTTTTCTCTGCCATTTTTTTATCTTTTCATTTTTATATCTATCATTTCCTTGACTTTAATCCAGNTATGTTAGCTTTGGTGAGTTTCCGTACCATGAAATACTGCGGTAGCTCCTTTCCTCATTACCGTAATGCCTGGATACCCATGCTAGTAAAACTATGTTTTTGGCTCCTAGAGCGTTTTAGCACACTGTAACAATCATGATTTTTTTTAAGTTCAGCTCAAATACATCGAGCTCCATCTACATATAATCTTCCTTAAAAATGAATCCAAATACAAATACTTCCTTAGAAAAGGTTAACGATTTTTGGTAAGCTTTAATTAACTAACGTTAGGGTAGTTCGTTAAGATAATAAGAACAGAGATTTGGTGGGTAAGTACTAAAGGTCAATGAACTCGTGAAACGAAAAAATTTTCTCCTCGAGACAGGAATATCAATCCGACTGTAAATGTTGAAGATATGGAAAAAAATGTAAAAAGGCGTTCACAAAAAAAAAAAGAATTTGTTTCGTTTTTTTTTTTCAAAATTGCCTTGCAAAAATATTTCAGACTCAGGTGTGTATGACCAACTTTCTTTTCCGGTACGGTCTAATATTCATGCATGCACACATTTTTTCAAAAATGTTCTAAACTTCATTTACTGGTTGCGTGCAAAAGCATTCACTTCTCGCCGAGCAGCAATAGATTCTTATCGCCGCTGTTCTGCACTCCACGTTGTTGCTGCTGCTGTTGCTGTTGCTGCTCTTGCCGCATATTTTAAGTTGATTGCAACTGCAGAAATGGGGCGCGTGTTGGAATGTGGCAAATCCAGTTTCTCACCTTCAAATAAACAGTCTTTAGCGGGCTGCACTCGCGGTGGCACCATACTACACACATATGTATGTATGTAGCAACATTATTGCATACAAATGTATTTACGTACATACATACATATGCATCCATGAAAGCAGCTGCATGTGTATTTAGACTACTCAAAATATGCACTCAGTCCAATCGAGTGAGTCTGCTGGGTACCCTCTCTCTTCGTTGCAGTATTTAATTTGTTCTCCTTTTTTTTTGTTAAATAAACTTCTGTTGTTATTCGGCTAAGTGTACCGTTTCGGTGAAATTGTTTTGGTAACAAAGTATCTTCCGCTGTATTAGTTGCATTTTATTTGTTTTTTTGTTGGTTTTGTTATTGCTATTTGATGATGCTTTTAATATTGTTTCCGTGAACACTTAATATTGACTTGCAACAAATTTGTTTGGTGTTAGGGGCAATTGCTGTTATTGCTGGCTGTAAATGTGTGATCATATGATTGCGTGTTGGTGCGGGAAGAAGCGTGTTTGTATGAATTTGTGTAGTGACTGTTGATATTACATTTATTTTTATTTTTATTTAAGTGGCGTGGTAGTAGCGTCATGGAACTTTTATAAATACTCCTTCCACCTACAACTGATGTATGTATGCACATTAGGGTGGATGCATGTGAAAAAGTAAAGTCGGAATTTTCACGCTCTCACCCCCTGGGATTGTTCTATACCGAAAAAATATACTCCGTTTTTTTATTTTGAAATCAAAAAATATTTAAAGATCGCGTAGAAATGGTATAGAATTCTTGAAAATCAATATTTTTCGATCTTAAATATCTGTTTCTCTTCAGGGGATTCCCAATAATAATGCCCAATTATTTATTTATTATTTATTATTTATTTATTATTTATTTTTTCGCAGTAACTATATTTTAGAGGTACGCCAAAA